GAAGTACATCATGAGTATATAAAGTGTCCAATGACAAAATAAGAGCAAGTAGCTTCAAATGCCCCCAACACAAGGGGAGAAAGAATAAGGCGAAATTTCGAACTTTTTCTTGAAATATCTCAATAAATAGTGGTTTGTTCACATTTTCATTATAAAATTCGGTTCATCAGACAAAAATACGTGAGTACCGAAAAAAATTTTCAAAAAAAAAACCATCGCATGATAAATGCAGTTTTACCCTTAAAAATTACGGTTTCAAGTGTAACGGTCCACTTGGGTGAAAAATCCAACAACAGAAAATTGAAAACACTCACTGGTTATTTTTTCAGGTAATAGGAATTCTCCAAGATAAATATAGGTAATTGTAACAAACGGCATGTCAATCAAAATAAAATACATTTTCCACAATCTTCTTTCGATCAATCTCACGATGAGTTTATGTTCTGCCGGCCCTGTATAAGTAGGTGTGAAGTTTACCTTCACCACAATTTTTGACAATATATTTAATTCGAATGGGTTGCTGTAGGTGGATATTTGTGTTTTATCCTGGTTTTTGCTTTAAAACTTCGTTTTTCCATAATAAAATCGAATGGGGTGCGAAGAAGGGCTCAGTTGACGACTGGCATCCTTTTTTAACCGGAAGCCCTTCAAAAAACAGCAAAATCGGCTCAATGATGATCTAAAACTGAAATCGAAATACGCGGTCGTCTTATAGCGCTATAAGCGCTTGTCGTTTCGAGCCGCTGGTTAGGCCTCACTAAGTGACGTCACCCACGGAGCATGCAGGCCTTGTTGTATCGGTGGTAACGGATAGAGGAGGCCCTGCTAGAGCTGTAGGTTCCGAAAATCACCTGCCGAGTTCAGTGACCGGTAGTATGATTTCTCACGCCCATGTCACTTTTTTATTTTCCTGCTTGAGAGATAGTCTTGTCTAGACCCCCCGGCGTCTCGGGTATTCCCGAGAATCCGGGAGGGATCCCAACTATAGATCACCATCAGGTTCTCTAAACACACATCGGTTGATGCATATATCAGCCGGTGTTTCTTGCGTATGTTATCGAGCAACAACCCTATCAGTTGCGCTACATCAGCTTGTAATTATATCAGTCAGTCACAATACCTTGAGTGATTGAAGGAGATTTTACTTTAAAAATGAATTTGAATTCAAGTATTGTTGTGTCAGACCGTCAACAGATATGCAAACTTTTTAAATCACACATGAAACGTCCAGCCAGAATGAAATTGTCTCGCCTTTCGTACAAAATATCTCACTAACGCGAATTATAAGTGAATAAAATAAAGTAGGAACTTAGGTTATTGTCTCAGATTTGAATCCAAAGCAATCTTGACCAGACACGATGTCAAAATTTTATCGCTGATAAACGAGGTTTGTTGGTCACGTGTGGGTCAATTCGGCTTCTGTGTATTGGTAGAGCAAGTCCGATAAAATTTAATAAACAAAAAATATCGCTAGAATACAGAAGAAACCGTGAAAATGGTCGATTCTGATTGGTTCTCGAGATCAAGAGTGGAATAGTCAATAGAAAACCAATATTGTATCATTATACCACAATACTATCAAATATCATGAATGAAATACTAATAGGCTGAAATCTTATATAATTTTTGATGATTTGAAATAACTGATTATTCTATTGATATATCCAGTGGATATCCACTGGAAATCCAAACTATATCCATTGGATATCTATATAGTGATTATCCAGTCAATATCCATTGGACATCCAATGGATATACAGTGGATATTCATGGAATATATCAAACCTAGTTGAAATTTAAAAGAAAAGGGTAGGTATACCGAAGTGCAAGAATTTTACCGAATCGAAAACATCAGGTAAGCACGATGTTCTTCGAACATTATATAGGGATTCTCTTTCTTGCGTTCCAAGAGATTAAGAGAACCTCAAATCTGTCAATTTAACTCTGTGATTTTATTCATGGGAACTTATTTTAAATAAGATGAAGTCATAAAATGACTGGTTTCGAGTTTTGTCTTACTCCACCGTAAGTAAGTATAAAAACTTTTGGGAACTGGTAGAACAACAAAAGTCATCGATAGAGTATATTATACAATATCCGAGAAAAAATAAATATAATATTTTTTATTGGAATCAAAATGTAGCACTTCAAGCACTTGAGCAAGTTTCATTGGAGCAAAAACAAGTTAATAAAAAATCCAAGCTGTTTAAAAATCAACTAGGAAGAGGTTCGTGCTATTCGATAATTTTCCATACCTTTCCTATTAAAATTTTATTGGTCAGCCAAGTGGAAGGGAAATAGAACAGAATTGAAAATCGACCTATTTCATATTTTTCTCAAATAAACATTTTTCTGTAAGTTATCCAGTCTTTTTCGATTTCGTTGGCCAACTCTTGATGGAATTCCTTCAATTTCTACTTCGAATTTGTTATTTTGTTAAAATTTGAAAGTATACATATATCTCATGTCTCATGTCTCTATCGTTATAAATATCCCAGGAAGACCTGGCAAAAGTTCTATGATCCTGATTCTATGTTATGACAAAAGTGTCAATTAAAACGTTAAAAAATATTGCTTCATATCAAGTTCAGTATAATTGCTGGGAATGATGACCATGACAGCCATATGAGCCATAACGTGTTAGATACCCGGGTATTTGAACTCCGAGGCACTTTCACTGGTTGATTTATGGATTGCTCAAATAAAGTCTGCTTTCAATGCTGTGCGTACGTGGAATATCAAAATTATGAATTAAGAAACGACAGAGAGTAACAGTAATCGATTTGATATATAATTTTGTTTCTAGGTTACAAAACATTTTCGAATCAAATTAAAATGATAATTATCTATATCGAACAGATGGTCCCTCTACTTCATCGGTTTGTTCTGTGCTCAATATCTCTCTTTTCTAATAGAATAGGGGAAAGTTACCTATGATGGCATGTTTCCTATGATGGCATACTATCGATATTTCTAACGCATTTGAATTTGGCGCTCAAATGACCCGTTTGTCAGATGGTCGTTACTGATCTATCGATGTCTACGAACACTCATACGCGTCGGATAGTTCAACAAATATTTGTGGATATAAAACAATTTCGGTAAGTCTCGAAGTTATTTTCAAGCAGTAATGAATTCGATTTCATGTTCTTAATAGACTTTATTCGAGAACATCCATTCAGTGCATGCTTTTGATGAATGTTCTTAATTTGGTACTGTGTTTATTTTGAGGTTAATTTGTAACCAAAAAATTATTTCGATTTTTTTAAGTTGAAGTGTGGACTTTTCCTATGACGGCATACGATAGTCGTTCCTTTGATGGCATGGTATGTATGGTATCCAAATCAAGAGAATTGTGGATTTCATGCCAGATGTGCAAATCCTGGTGCCATATCGAATGTGCCGGAGTCGAAAAACGAAGAAAGCAATTCGTCTGCGAACTCTGCCTATGAAATATTTGTCATCTGATGACTGTTACGAAAATGCTACTTTCTGATTTATTCCTAAGTTTATGTTTTTGTAAGAACTGTCCCATTATTTTGAATACATCAATCTTTCCATAATAAAGCACTTATTTCAATTCAAGAATAGGTTAACCTCAGAAGACCTCATGGATTGAAGGTATGCCATCATAGGAGGATACCTGCCTATGATGGCACATTGACGTCATTTTCCTTTAAACTTTTTTCTCAAAAAATTTCAAAATGTATGAAGAATGCTATGAGTTCTGATCAATTATGAAGTCATTGTGTATTCAAATTACACACAGATCATCTCCCAAACTTATTAATAACGTGTCAATGTTGATGTAAAGTTAAGTATGCCATCATAGGTAACTTTCCCCTATATATAAACATTCTAAAATCAAAAAGAAGGTAAACACAAGGAACATATTTATTTCATCTCAATCTCCGTTAGTTTTGAAGGTAATGGATTGAAATTTGGGATTACCTACCTATATACATAAAATAATGGGCACGTTTCGGCCTGATTTTTTTTCTTCACTCTCGGTTTTCCAGAAATATAACGTTTTCTTCGGGATCATATGGCTAGACTCTCTTCGGAATTGATTTTCAAGACGATTAAAATGATTTTCTCGCTGGACGTTGTTTATTTTAGAGGATATCGGTCGGCATCCAGGCCGGCATAAAAGGCTTCTAGCCGCCACGGCATTTTTTCTACATTTCCCAATTAATAGAGATATTATCGTTGACCCGTATTAAAGTACAATGGAAACCTTTCGAACATAATGAATTCTGAACAAATAGTAAACACCTATATTTTGAAACATTTCAGAGATGTTTCACATTACGCATAACAACAGAGAAATATTACACATATATATATACCTACGTAAACATGGCGATGTTTCAGAGGGAGCGTCTAGAGATTCACGTGAGACATTTCAAGCAGAAAATTTTTGTAATGAATATGAAACGTATGTATTGACATATTTCTGAAATATTTCACAAAACATGGAGAACTTTAGAAATGTTTCCTTCATGTTAACATTGAAATGTTTCAGATCACACGTATTAGGGCACTTTTGAAATGTTTCTGAAACGCGTTGTGTTTACTGGGAATATTTCCGAGAATATTTCGCCCCAGTCGAAAGATAATATCCGATTTACCAGTGTGAAACTCATCATGTGGATTTCAATATTTGTAATGCGAGCAATATACAGCAGCTTTACACGGTTTGGTTTCAATTTTCAATCAGGAAAAGTACTATTAATTTCAGAGTCTTATCAGATTATCGATAAGACGCCTTAATATTTATTTGGGGCAATGGGTAATAAACCATCGCATTCATGTGGATAACTTTGAACCGAATAAGCACAGTCTCATATGCTAACAGGTGGAACGATTTTTTGATCATTCCAGGTGTTACTATAATTCAGTGGGCAAGACGTGTGCTGTGTACTCGACTCTTGTGCTCGTTCAAAGAGATCGAGAAGAAGAAAAGTTGAGGTTATTTCATTATAAAGTTAGGTTAGGTTAGAGATTCAAGTTTTGTTGATGTTGATGAAATACTTTTTCTCTCTGAAATCTAAAGCGTGATGTCAACCAACGGTGGTATGATTGCACTTCTTTCCGTATCCAACAAACAAGGTTTAATTGAATTCGGAAGAAGTCTACGGAGTCTGGGATTCACCTTAGTTGGTAGCGGCGGCACTGCCGCTAGTTTACGGAATGCAGGCCTGCCAGTCAAAGATGTTTCAGAACTATCCGGGGCACCAGAAATTTTAGGAGGCAGAGTGAAAACTTTACATCCTGCAGTACATGGTGGTATACTAGCTAGATTGCAGGAATCAGATCAACAAGATTTGAGGAATCAAAACATAGAAATGATAAGGATTGTAGTTTGTAACTTATATCCATTTGTAGAGACGGTAGCAAAGGAAAATGTAACAATCAGTGATGCCATTGAGAACATTGATATTGGAGGAGTAACTCTTTTAAGAGCAGCAGCTAAAAATTATTCAAGGGTTACAGTCATTGTTGACCCTTCAGATTACCTAAGAGTTTTGGAAGAGCTAAATAATGGTGTTGATAAGGACACAAGTATTGAAACTCGGCAAACTCTAGCTCTGAAAGCTTTCACCCATACCTCAGAATATGATTCAGCAATTTCTGACTTTTACAGAAAACAATTCTCAAAGGGAGTTTCACAGTTAACTTTGCGTTATGGTATGAACCCACACCAAAAACCAGCTCAACTGTATACCACATTACCAAACCTACCCTTACAAGTTCTAAATGGTTCCCCTGGATATATCAACTTGTGTGATGCTCTGAACGGATGGCAACTAGTTAAAGAACTGAAAATTGCCTCAGGGCTGCCTGCAGCTACCAGCTTCAAACATGTATCTCCAGCTGGGGCTGCTATAGGAGTACCTCTAGATCAGAATGAAGCAAAGCTCTGCATGGTTCATGATCTTCTTGAAACACTTTCCCCTCTTGCCATAGCCTATGCTAGAGCAAGAGGAGCTGATAGAATGTCTTCTTTTGGAGACTTCATAGCACTGTCAGACATTTGTGATCTTCCCACTGCAAGGATAATTTCTAGGGAAGTGTCTGATGGTATTATTGCTCCTGGATATTCTCCAGAAGCACTTGAAGTCTTGAAGAAAAAGAAAAACGGGAATTATTGTATTCTCCAAATTGATTCCAGTTATGTTCCCAGTGCTATGGAGAGCAAAGTAATCTTTGGTTTGACTCTAGAGCAGCAGAGAAACAATTCTATTATTGATGAATCTCTTTTTGGCAATGTGGTCACCAATAACAAAGACATCCCTGCTTCTGGAATAAGAGATCTGATCATAGCAACTATAGCTCTCAAATACACTCAAAGTAATTCAGTGTGTTATGCTAAAAATGGCCAAGTCATAGGCATAGGAGCAGGGCAACAATCTAGAATTCACTGTACAAGATTAGCTGGTGATAAGGCAGATAACTGGTGGATGAGGCAGCATCCAAAGGTGGTCAACATGAGGTTCAAGAAAGGAGTCAAGAGAGCAGATATATCCAATGCCATAGATAACTTTGTGAATGGCTCTGTTGGAAAAGGCATGGAGAGATCTATTTTTGAGTCTCTGTTTGAAGAAATTCCAATTGGATTTAGTGAAACAGAGCGTAAAACTTGGTTGGATCAGCTTTCTGGCGTTGCTTTGGGATCTGACGCGTTTTTCCCATTCAGAGACAATATTGACAGGGCAAAACTGAGTGGAGTTTCATTTATTGGTAGTCCTTCTGGGTCCACCAATGATGAGGAGATAGTCAAAGCTTGCAATGAACATGGTATTATATTAGCACACACGAATTTACGTTTGTTTCACCACTGATATAAAATATTGGTGTCATTAAAATTTATCTTGGTTTTTGTGTTGTTCATTTCTGTTTCTTCAAGGAGTATAAATATTTCAGAACATGACTCCTTACAGTACCTATCAGGACTCCAGGCATAGAGTTTGAAACACCTAGAACATTGATCTGAACAAATTTCTAATTTTGTAGGACATATTATGCACTTTTGTGAAAAATAGAGGAGGAAGTATTACAATTTTTATTTCCAATTCAAGACATCTGCAAAGAAAACGATTAGAAAAACATATTTTAAATACTTATTATAATATTTATCACAGAAATATTGAATACCTACTAGATTTGAACTATATATTCAAATAATTTATTTATTTTACAATCATTACATCAAATACTATCTGTACAGGGTATCCCAATTTGGGCACTTTTGCGGGGTATCTCCCTTATCAGTAAAGATAGAGCATTGCGGTTTTCGCGACAGTGTGCTACTTTTTTATGAAATTAATAATGGCGCAAGCAGAATTGTGGTAGCTCTTCCGGTTGTCTAGATACAGGGTGGAATTGAAAAATATCACCCCCCGTGTCTCAGTTATCTTTGAACTTATCGAAGAAGTTAAAACTTGTTTTTATAGAGTTTTTCTCGTAGAATCCAGTGGCGTAGTTATTTTTTTGCTAGCACCTTTTGTTTTTTAGTTATGGAGCAAACATATATTTTTTTAAATGGAAAATAATTTTTTTAATTATATATTTTTGGAAAGCCCACTTCATGCTCAATGTATATCTGAAATAATATACAGGGTGTTCCATTCAAAAAAACATATGTTTGCTCCATAACTAAAAAACAACAGGTGCTAGCAAAAAAATAACTACGCCACTGGATTCTACGAGAAAAACTCTATAAAAACAAGTTTTAACTTCTTCGATGAGTTCAAAGATAACTGAGACACGGAGGGTGCCTGAAAAGTGATATTTTTCAATTCCACCCTGTATCTCGACAACCGGAAGAGCTATCACAATTCTGCTTGCGCCATTATTAATTTCATGAAAAAGTAGCACACTGTCGCGAAAACCGCAATGCTCTATCTTTACTGATAAGGGAGATACCCCGCAAAAGTGCCCAAATTGGGATACCCTGTACAAAATCAGATTGGTACCTATCTGAAACTTTCAAGATGATAGAGACGTAAAATTGTGAATTAAATATTTGAAAAGACCAATTAAAAGACTGAAACAATGGAAAAACTAAAAAAACATCAAAGAGAAATTAATTTTCGGAATTAGATATGAGGTCACGAAAAGATACAAGTTCATCAGTTTTGAACAAATTGGTACTACTAGGGTCGGACTAGGTTAACTTTGAGACAGCATGTGGCACTAATTAGTTATGTGATGATTCACGTGGTGTCCCAAAGTTAACCTGGTCTGACTCGTCGGACATCATCAGTGACTGAATCATTTTGTCAGATTGAGCTCAAACATAAATCTGTCAATCTGATTCTAATGATTGCTATATATAACTCTCGAATGACAAACAGTCAATTCCATCCAGGCAGAAATAGGTACATGATGTGGAATTAATGATTTCAAATTAGAAAAAAAAAATTGTGACGTCAGTGTTGAGAGAGAAAGATGTCTTCCAATGTGAAATAATGATAAAAATGTTTGTTGGTGACACAAGAAATAAGAAATAGAGCAAAAGAACATCCTAACCTCATAATTGTTACCAACAAAATTTTCTTCAGAATCCTGAAGAGTGAAGACATGGACAAAAGGGGAAGCATATTTCTCTTTCAAAACTAGCTGAACTTCTCACTCACTTCTTACTGAATGCTGAAATATAAATATTGTTGCAATCTGCAATCCTCAAAATAACAGTTAAATGTGTTAATCTTTCAAACTCCTTGTACCATTCCAGTTGCCTCTACAATTACATTATTAAAAAAACAGGCACAAAATTGCTCATGCAGGATTTTCATTATTATTTTGCTTCTCTTCCTGCCTCATCTTTAGCCTCAAGCACCTAGGACAACCATCTTTCCTCGTGAAGCAATGCGCGTGAAACACAGAACAACAATCCCCACAAGTAACAGTAGCCAAATCGAACGGATACAAAACCTCCTCATTGGAGCAAATCTCGCAAATGTGCCCCCTCCCTTTGCACACCTCGCACTGCACTTTTATATGGCTAGAAAAAACATCGACCAGGGAATGCAGTTTCGACAACAACTCCCCAGAGTGCGTGTCGACTAGGTCTTGGAGACTGTACATGTTCGCGTTGGCCATCAAATGTGGAGCATCCACATTCTTCCACAACAGACGATCTTCATTAGCCCTTCTGCAAACCGTCAGGTACTTCTTCATGGCGACCAAATCTTTTCTCAACCGCCTCACCAAATCCAGTTCGTGTACTAGGTGGAACAGCTTCGGGTTGAGCTGCTCGAGATTGATCATGGGCCTTTTGGAACAGATTCGAAGGAGCTGCAAGGAGGCTTGGCAGACGGGTTGGGGGGTAAAGTCCCAATTGTGGACCACCCTGGCTGGTATTACGGCGCTGCTGCCCCAGTGGCAGGCGGTGCAGTAAAAGAGACCAGTGTAGTCGCACTTTCTTGCTTCCGACCAATCTTTGTCTGCAACATATAGGGTCACAGCTTGACTTTCTTAATTTTTTTTTCATGGTAATTATGTAAGCACTTGGTAAAATGGCCAGGGTCAGTAGGTATCTGGGTCAGGGTTTGCAACACTGCAGACTCAGTGACTCAGGTAAATAGGTTACTGTTAATGTTAGCGGGCTCGACATCAGATTTTTTACCAACTTTTTTCGTCAGAAAGACTTGCTGATTGACGGTGTAAATGTTGTTGTCTTTTTGTCCTGAAACATCTCGTACCGAAGTCTTTGGAATACGAATACAATGAATATCAACACTCTCTTGACGTCTCTGCGGTTTCATTGTAACTCAGGTGATGAAAATATATCCACCTTTGGTGAATAGGTTGAGTACTGTTAATTTTAGCGGACTCAACATCAGATTTTTTATCAACTTTTTTCCTCGGAAAGACTTGCTGATTGACGGTGTTTCAATCAAAATGTTGCTGTCTTTTTGTCCTGAAACATTGAGAGCCAATAAGCAGTCTCGTACCGAAGTCTATGGAATACGAATACAATGAATATATCAACACTCTCTTGACGTCTCTGCGGTTTCGTTTTCCTCAATGCCTTTTTATTGTTTTTATCCTGAAACCCATTGTAGTGTTGAGTATACCTCATTATGATTTTCCAGGGTTCGAAGGCAGTCACAGGCCTTGAACTGATTTTAGAGCATGCCAAAGCTTTGATAGTCGCCTGACTATCGGAGCTGATAGGATTTTTTTTATCTGCATTCTTTGGCGGTATTCTCGCGGTAATAATGCAGTTTTGGACACATCACATGGGTATCAGCATGGTGGAATTATAATATGGTGTGCTACGACGCATCTTCCTATACGTCACTGCGAGTGAAACTATTGCTGGCAGTCTGAGCTCGCAGTTATTAATTCGTCTGAGTCGTCGTGATTATTTTGGTGCGAGTATAGACTCGCAAAGACGTTTTGCGTAGTAAAGACGAATTCAAGATACCTGAGTAGCACACAATATAATATTTCCACTATGGGTAGCAGTGTACACATTACCCTTATCTTGTACATAGTCTGGCTTGTAGAGGATGTCCTCAGGAAAGAATGTAAGCGAAGAGCACAATATGAAAGTTTATAGATGGCCATATACTATAATGTTCTTCGTTTTTATCCAAAAATTTCTGCGCCAGGGACCACATCCGTTTTGAACCCATCAGCGTATCATAGTGTTCGAATATCAATTCCTATTGCACTCCAACCTGTATGCTTTTATCCTCGCTTCCGCCCTGATGTAAAGATCAAGGGGAAGAATACTGAGTAATTTTTAATATAGCAGCTGTTGAAGAGTTATACTAGCTATACATTGCACCAGTAATTCCACTAGGACTGTATGCTCAGACTCGCTAGATAGTCGTTCATGACGCTGAGAGGTACTATCGTTTGAACCCGAAAAGATGTGATTCACCAAAAATGGTTTGAAGTGACTTTGAGAAAATTGGCTTCCAGTTATGAAGTACAAAGAATACAAAGACATAGCCCCCTATGATCAGTCTTCAAAACCAAGACCAAACCAAATATATTCAAGTTATGATTAGTCTCAGCACAGATACCAGTATATCATGCATGGATTCAGTCCCCATGTGTTACCTACTGCCCTTTGTGCGACCATATCAATGTAATTTTACCTCTAATGACAGTTTTACATTGATGTGGTCTGTTATTACAAGCTGTAGTAATTAGATTTTAGGTCGAGTTTGTGTTGTCTCCCGACGCGTAGCAGAGGGATGCAAAAAAACGAGAAAGAGAGATTTTTTAACTGGTACTACACCTGTGCTTGCATGCATCTTTTTATTGTTGCTATGGAAACCCTTTGAAGTAGATAATTTATGTGTTTTGATTTTAAAAAATTGCAAACTTAGTGATTTACCTAACAGGGAAGTGGAATATATAGAAGAAAAAAAAGAACTTTCAGTTCTTTCTCGGCTTATTTTTCGTGGGAAAAAGTAATTTTTGAAAAGTGACATTTTGTAACCTGTAAATAGAGAAAAAATGTTAAACTGTTCCCCATCACAGAAAAACAAATTTAATGGCTTGAAAAACATTGAAAACTGATGCAAATGTAAAGTTTGTTCTAAATCTATTATTGACTGAACCCTTATATAATTTCAAGAACCATTACTGTTTTCCTTGTTTTAAAAAAGAAAGGAACAACAGTCATCTCAAGTAAACAAATATGCTCGCGAATATGTGAATAAATCATATATATTTTAAATATTTAATTATGGAGAATCAACCGTTCAGACAAACTTTGACTCATTTATTATTTATTAACAAGCAATGATCCATAGGAATATTAAATTACCTAATTTCAATTTTGCTTGGAGGAAATTGTAGAGAAAAATCATCTAAAAGCCCCATCAGTAGACCAATAAATCACCAAGTCAAATTTCATTATGGTCTGAGATAGCCTTTATGCCAACTAGTAAAAAAAAAAGGAGGAAGGTGACATAAATAGGCTTGAATCCAGTAATAATCATATCATAATCATGCATACTTTGTATAATAATAAAAGCCAATAAAATAAAAAGCTATTGTGCATATGGACAGGACAAAAATCAAACAATATCCAATAATGTTACCTGGAAAAAGTAATCTAGCAAAACACCTTATTCCTTTTGGCTCAGCTAGCAGGGTACAAGGAAATATATAGCTATTATACATACATACATTCAAATTTTTAACATCACAATCATCTTCAGACCTGTATCCAAGGCAATAAAATGCCCCGTAAAGTAAATTCAAATCAAATATCAATGCTATCAGGTCTGAAGATACTTTGGATATCTCATAGGTTTCATCAAAAAAGATATCAATAATGTTTTCACTTACTGACTGGCAGAAGAGCTCTACATTCAGCACACAAAAACTTTTGTTGTGATAGGCCAATTTCAGGGCATATTTCATATTCAAATGTTCCACGTTCAGTAGCAATAACATGTGCACATTCTCTGATAATGGAACCCAAACACTTGTAATGACAGCAGTACTCACAATCTTCACATTGATACCATGCTTGGACAACACTCCTGTAGGAAGGATTATGAACTGTATCAGGAGGATAAAACTATACTATCTCATTGATAAAACTTACCAAATTGTGCCTGTACAATGGTCACAATATCTTGAGGCTGTGTTCCTCAAAAGAGGTTGTAAATTCAAATGGTGACCACGTACAGTTCTCTTTGAAACCCCACTAGATCTGTTTCTAGGATGTCTATAAAAATAAGCACCAATAGTAATGTACTTTCACAGTACTTATGATACTCACTGGGGATCATCCATTGCTTCTCTACACTCTTGAAGTCGAAGTCTGAGTTCTATCAAATGCCTTACAAGCCATTTCCTTTCTGGGGAACATTGATCATTTTCAAGAACCAAGTCTTTGGAACGGTTGATTGCTGTCAGCAATTCATCCTCAGTTGCCTCCTGTTTAAAAAATCTCTAGCTTAAATATAAAAATGATATGCACTTCTGGGAAATATTAACCTTATTCAAAGCTAATTTGAGCTCTTCTGCAGCTAGACTAGTGGGCAGAAATTCAATATCACTGGATAAATTGCCAGATGCAGCTGTTGATATTGGGCTGGATGTTAATTGCCTGTTATCTGACATATTATCAGACATTTTTAATGATATATTCCGAAATTTTGAAAATACAACAACAAAAACATAACCACAAATAAAATCAATATTTTGACAGTTTTGATTTGACGTAATAACTAAAGATATGCAAGAGATACACAAAGGCAAGAGGCACATAAAGGCAAGATATTGATAAAGACAAGAGGCATTTAAAGGTAAGATACACATATAAAGGCAAGAGACATATAAGAGTAAGAGGCACATAAAGGCAAGAGGACAAGATTTCATCTAAAAATATAATAAGAAGAAGAAGTGTAGTTGTATTCATCTTTCTCTTTAATTTTTTTTTTCTCTTTTTAGAAATTCCTTAACTGAAAATGGCGGTGAGCGAAAAATTTTCTAATAATAATATTATCGTTAATCATCCAAATGTTTTATCATCTTTTTACTGAAATTAGATTCAATTTTCTTTTTTGATGCATTTTCCAGAAAATATTTCTCCATATTTTTCACGATGTGTTGTTTCTTTAATCACTTTCTCATGTAGTCATAACCTAGAATTTGTTGTTTTTTTCTTGCTACATTATATTTTTTCTAAATTTGAATTATTTATTCCAGCCCACCGCGAAGAAGGAAAAGAAGGAAGTCAAAGACAAATCCAAAAATGTTATGCGTGAACTGCATATTAGGAAATTATGCTTGAACATCTGTGTTGGTGAGTCTGGTGACAGATTGACCAGAGCTGCTAAGGTAAGGTGAACGAAACACACTTTTCTGAAACTCATTATACTACGATTACCATCCTCAGGTATTGGAACAGTTAACTGGACAACAACCTGTCTTTTCCAAAGCAAGATACACAGTCAGATCCTTTGGTATCAGACGTAATGAAAAAATTGCTGTACACTGTACAGTAAGGGGCGCCAAAGCTGAAGAAATATTAGAACGTGGTCTCAAAGTCAGAGAATATGAATTGAGGAGAGATAACTTCTCAGGTGAGTAATAATTCTGTTTGAATGTACACATACATTATGCTTTTTCCATACAAAGTTATTGAAAAAGTGCTTTTCTTTTAGCATCTGGTAACTTTGGTTTTGGTATCCAAGAACACATTGATCTTGGAATCAAGTATGACCCAAGTATAGGAATCTATGGTCTTGATTTCTATGTTGTGTTGGGTAGACCAGGATTCAATGTAGCACACAGGAGGGCAAAGCAGGGAAAAGTTGGATTCCCTCATAGGTTGACAAAAGAGGATGCCATGAAGTGGTTCCAACAGAAATATGATGGAATAATTCTAGCCAGCAAGAAGTAAAGTGTAAAATGATTTTATGCATTGACCTAATTCTAATGCAATACCCATTAAATTTTTGGAAAAAAATATGTTCTGTTTATTCCTTGTGAAATAAAGAGCATGGGGCCCCACATTCCTCATATTAAAACAAATTCAGTACAAGCAAACCTAGAAGTATACTTGAAAGGTCTGTACAAAATCATAGCACTTATTCCTGAGGTCAAAATAAGCTGATCAGTCTGAAGTGGCTCTATTATAACATTTCAGAACTGCCAACTCACTGACCACCAAATCTGATTGACAAGGATAATAGCTAATATTTTTGTATTCAAAATAATTAAATATTCTGGTGGGGTACCAAACACTAGAAACCAAATTTTTATCTCCAAAATGGCTTACAGTAGGGGATTTTCACAAGAGTACTTTTGTTTAAAAATGTTCAGAAAATTATTAAATAACATGGAATTTTATTTTTCAACATTTACCACCCTGTATCTCGGAAATGGAGCAATTCAGGACAGGACAGAGGTAATAGTTATTGCTTTCTTATAGGTTTTTTTTGACCTCAGGAATATGTGCTGAGGATTTTGTACAGATTTTTCAAGGACACCCTGTGATAGGTACCAGTAAATTCCAGTATTTTGATTTTGCATCCTATAGAGGCATGTGAAAATTAAGACATTCTGAAATGGAAAACTTTTATGAAGTGTTCATATCAAAAGTTTACTGCATGGTGCTCTGAATTGATAAAAATTTTGTTGAAGCCTTGAAAGTAACTGAAGTTAACAACTGTGTTTATTTATTTGAAATAGTCATTCCATATATATATATTTCACTATTCAACCCGTAAAAGTTTTAGATGATCGGCCGAGTGGACTGATATATAATGATAATTATTGGCATTCAATTACTTCACTGTGTCATAATAAGGGAACTATATAAATTAATTTTTGCGACACTTTTTTTGTGTGAATAATGAGTCAATGCGTTGTTCAAAATTGTTGAATTTCAGTGCTCATTTCAAACTTACCGTCACCGCCACTTGGCGATATAGATATACGTCGAATAAATGGTAACGTCAGTTTTTATGCTGTTTCGTTATTGGTCAGATAATCTTCCATTCCCACTCATGAAGGAATAAATTAAGGTTGTCAAGTCGCCAATTATAATCAAAAAAATGTTTGAGTCCTATTGTTGAATAAATAAACATAATGAACTCATGACATATAAGTTCATTCTTGACTTTTTCGAGCAACCAGCATGTCCAAATATTTCTCATTCTCCATAACAAAATATCATGTGAATATGGGAGACTTGGCAACATTGTGCTGAATGCTGAGAACAAGACGTTTTCGTGCGCAGGGTTGTCACATTCACCGATTCAAATGTCCTCTAATGTTAATTAATATAATTATTATTTGAACAAATTTATTATAAAAGCAATAGGCCACAAATCATAGGGAAACATTTTGAGACAATTGAATAAGGAATATTAAACCAATACTCAATTGAGAATATTTATGAATTATTATTGAATAACTAATATTTCTAGCCGTATGAAATAAATTTCCGTGGCATTATTGATGATTTTAGCACCTAAAAATCGGTTTTTGAGTAATGATTCTATTTAAGAAATAAATAAAAATTAGTCCACCCCTCTGAGTTTGGATAGACAATACCAAATGTGAGTAAAAATAGTAAAATATATATATGTTCAAGAGATATTTCAAAGGTAGGTATACAGAGAAAAAAACAAGGATATTTTCAAATGGTAATTTCATCAGAAACTATATACAGAGTGACCCATTTGAAAGCGGGCCACCCCTGTATCTCACGTAATCGTTGGGTAAGGATCATGAAATTTGCTGGAGCGAGATATATACCAAAAATACACTCTATAACCAAGTGGGGTCATCTTCAGTGATATACACTGCTCGCCAACAGCCATATGGAACCACCCCAATTTCCGGAAAATGATATTAGGAGTCAAAATAGGTTGAAAATCACTTCGGATTCGGAATCAGGACGTCCAATTCAATAACTATTCATATTTTTCCTTGAAAATTTTCAGTTCTGAAACATTAAATTTTGCCGCACTTTTCATGCATGGAAGCACCCCCCGTATCTCACGTAATTATTGAGGTAGGGTTCTAAAATTTGCAGGAGGAACGGAAAGTCCAAAGATAAAGTCAATTACGTGAGATACGGGGTGCTTCCGTGAAAAGTGCGACAAAATTTGATTTTTCAGAACTGAAAATTTTCAAGGAAAAATATGAATAGTTATTGAATTGGACGTCCTGATTCCGAATCCGAAGTGATTTTCAACCTATTTTGACTCCTAATATCATTTTCCGGAAATTGGGGTGGTTCCATGGCTGTTGGCGACCAGTGTATATCACTGAAGATGACCCCACTTGGTCATATATAGAGTGCATTTTTGGTATATCTCTCGCTCCAGCAAATTTCATGATCCTTACCCAACGATTACGTGAGATACAGGGGTGGCCCGCTTTCAAATGGGTCACTCTGTATAAGCGCCCAGACTGAGAATTTTATTATTATATTGAAGTGAGTTTGTATGTCGTAGGTTTATTGTCATGGACATATGTTATTGTGAACATATTATTATTTCAGAGGGACACCCTGTATATTGTTGTAGACTTATTTAGTATAGGAACGTATACAGTCGTGTTACACAGAATGAGTCATGTGCACTTGATCTTACCCTGGCCATCCCTGGCAGAAATATGTAATGTATGAATACCAATTCGAAATTTGCAAAGGCATCCCAGTAAACACAACACGTTTCAGAAACATTTCAAAAGTTCCCTAATACGTGTCATCTGAAACATTCCAATGTTAACATAAAGGAAACATTTCTGGAGTTCTCCATGCTATGTGAAATATTTCAGAAATATTTTAGAAATATGTCAATACATACGTCTCATATTCGTTACAAAAACTCTTTGCTTGGAATGTCTCACATGAATCTCTAGATGTGTCATCTGAAACATTCCAATGTTAACATGAAGAAAACATTTCTGAAGCTCTCCATGCTATGTGAAATATTTCAGAAATATTTTATGTCAAAACATACGTTTCACATTCGTTAGAAAAAATCTCTGCTTGAAATGTCTCACGTGAATCTCTAGACGCGTCATCTGAAACATTTCAATTTTAACATAAAGGAACAATTTCTGAAGCTCTCCATGCTATGTGAAATATTTCAGAAATATGTCACTACATACGTTTCATATTCGTTACAAAAAATCTCTGCTTGAAATGTCTCACGTGAATCTCTAGACGCGTCATCTGAAACATTTCAATTTTAACATAAAGGAAAAATTTTTGAAGCTCTCCATGCTATGTGAAATATTTCAGAAATATGTCACTACATACGTTTCATATTCGTTACAAAAATTCTCTACTTGAAATGTCTCACGTGAATCTCTAGACGTGTCATCTGAAACATCGCCATGTTTACGTATGTGAAATATTTCTCAAATGTTATGCATGACGTGAAACATCTCTGGAATGTTTCAATACATGTGTTTACTATTCGTTTGAAATGCATCATATTCGACGTTGCCAGGTTCATGATTCCGTTTTATTGGCTATAATGAATCACATGCTTGAGTGTGACCAATGAAGACGGGTGTTTACTCTGGCAACATCGGCATATGACAGTCCGAACCAAGCACGGTCGGCTCCGACTTGCTCCGACTGTCCAGTCCGAGAAGAGAGTGGGTGAACACAAAGACGAAGCCATTCTTTCTTTTGTTGTTCTAATTCCGGTGATCGGCGGTGAAGCCATTTTTAGCGTCCATTGATATTGCCTGATGGTGGTAGTGCTAATGTTGAAAGTTAATAATGACAACTACGAATATGAGAAAGGAGAGAGGGTGAGTGGATCAAATAAATCTCAAAATTTTTTCAGGTGCTGTCAGAAAAAGGTTTGCTGTGACGGACGTGGAGTTCGAAAGATATGTAGCAGCCTGCTTTCGCCAATCTGGTCTCAGGTTAGCTAGAGAAAGGGAAAATATGAAATGAAATGGTTTTTTATTATAATTTGATAAGTTTTCATAATATAAAATCCACAGAAGCTGCAGTTTTATTTTATTCACCCTGCTTTTTTCTCCATAAACCTATATTAATAACAATTGACTACATATTACACATGATGTTAATTAGGGTTCACTTTCATTATGAGTAAGTGATTAACTTCTGTGGTAATGTAGTCTTGGTATGAACTGAAAATGGTTTCATATTCGAAATGTTCCATTATCAGCAAAAGTGAGATGTATCGGAAATGTTTCAAAAAAGTCATGTTGGAAATGTTGCAAATAGTGCAATAAGGAAATGTTTCGAATACACTATTTGTGAAACGTTTCATGAAACCCAATCAGCACAAGTACGTCTTATGGACGTTTTAAAAACGTCCACTCTGGACATTCAGGACGTTTTGGGGACGTCCATTTCCGGACGACGGACGTCTTATGGACGTTTTGAGGACGTCCATTGTTAATAATCAGGATGTTTTGGGGACGTCCAGTTTAGGTCCAGACTAGGACCTTTTTGGGATGAAAAATGGACGTATTGAGGACATTCAGACAATATTGATTATTGATTTTCTGACCCATCTGAAGAGTGAAATACTTGAATATTAGTTAACATTTATTCGCAAACAATAATATGAACAGAGATTCAGGTAGTTGTTTCAATTTCATTCCTCCATATCGTATATCAGCAGCTGCACCACTAAAAACGTCGCGTGATTCATCCAGGTACGCAGGCGCGATGATGTCTTTTTCTGATTGGCAGCCTTCTGTTGTCTTCTTCACTGGATCTGTAAATAATAATAATATTCAATAACATCTTCTGTGAATACCATAAACCATAAACACACACCCACTTTCAACGTGTAGTAGTCAGTATAGCGGAATACTTCATTATTTTCATTTCATTGAGAACTTCCCAGTTAACACAAATTGATCTCAGAGATGTCAGTACACTTCACATTCATGATTGAGATCACACCCGCGATTCGATTTGTGAATCACGTCGACATCTCCAGATCCTCTATTCCGGACCCTTTTGGTCATTTTTCGCTTCACATTTAGATGCCGAATGGGACTCAAAAGTTAGCTGAATGTGACTCCAGATATCACGTTGAAATAAGACTCACATTGAGGTCACATTATAATCAGAATGTGAGGTTCAGAAGACCATCGACCATTTCTGAATGTGAGGTT